GGGAGATCGGGGTCGGGGGACGGGGGGGGTAGCGCGCAGCGGGGGGAATGTTGGGGGAAGGGGATCCTGTTTGGTGTCGGGGTAAGTGCGCGGAATGGGGATCGGGGGGGAGTCGGGGGAGTTGTGATCGGGGAATCACGCGGGAATCGTGCGGGAATCAGGGTTGGGAAGGGGGGAGGGGTCGCGCGGGAGGATCGCACGTGGATGGCGAAGTCGCGGGAGGGCGGGAAATGGGACTGGGTAGGCAGCGGGGGAAGAGAGGATTGGGGGGGGAGGAGAAGAGTAGGAAAGAAGAAGAAGAGGAAGAAGGAGAAAAAGCGAGGAAGGAGAAGAGGGGGAAGAAAAAGATAGTTTATTGGTCACTTACCTGCGCGTCGACTTCGGGATCGGTGGCGTGGCAGCGGCGACAACGAAGGCAGCGAGGTGCTGACGTGGCGATGGTGGCAACGGCAGGTACGAGGCACTGACGTGGCAACGACGAGGCGCTGATGAAGATGATGATGACGTGGCAATGTCGGCGTCGAAGATGGCAACAACGGGGATGGCGGGGGGGGAGGAGAAGAGGGGAAAGAAAAAGAAAGTTTATTGGTCAGTTGCCTGCGCGTCGACTTCGGGATCGGTGGCGTGGCAGCGGCGACAACGAAGGCAGTGAGGTGCTGACGTGGTGATGGTGGCAACGGCAGGTACAAGGCACTGACGTGGCAACGATGAGGCAGTGATGAAGACGATGATGACGTGGCAATGTCGGCGTCGAAGATGGCGACAACGGGGATGGCGCGGCAACATCGATGACGAACATGATGATGACGATGAAGGCCTGGAGCGGTGGCTGCTCCACGTCGATCAGGGTGGGCGGGAGGGCGATCGACGCCGCTCCGATACCGGTGTGACGGGCCTGAGGCAGAGCAGCGAGGTTGGGGAAGAGAGAGGGAGGGAGGGAGAGCACACACACACACTCACTCAACTCGACACGGACTCGACACGACTCGACGGACACGGACACAAAGTGGCAAAGTCGCCATCTTGGTTCCGTAGACAATGTCGCAGCAAGTCACACTGAAGCACAAGCACTGAGGCCGAAACTGCGTCACCGAACTCAGCTTGAGTCCGGTCTTAAGTACCGGACTCGAGTCGAGTCCGAGGGCAAAAGTGCAATTTGAACTGAAAATCGAAGGTCTGAGCCTGGGCACCAGAATGCCGGATGGTGCCAACTACGAAATCCGAAAGTGGCAGAGGCGGGATTTGAGAACGGGCTCCAACTGCAGAGGGCGCCAACAGTCAGGAACCGGAGATCAGAACCTCCAAAAAAAATAGAATAGCAGCCTGGCGGGTGGTACCCCGCGGACCAGGGATCGAGCCCTTGCTGGGTCCGTAACACAGTTGGTCACCCTTAGATGAAAAAGGGGTATTTCAAGCTTGGTAGTCACTGATGAGTCGTGTGATGACCACCTCCCACCTATCCTACACATTCAGTCAAGGTTGTCAATGCAAAGCTATAGTAAAGGTGCATGGGGTCTTACCGTCTAGCCGCTGGTACTCCGCATCTTCACAGAGAATACCGGAGAGGAAAGAGACATAGATAGAAAAGTAGAATACACTTCAATACAGTGAATGCTAGAATGTAGGAGGTTGCTCAAGTTACAATAAAAAAAAAAAAAAAAAAGAAGTACAGGTGCCAGGTGGCGTATTTGGTGCTCTGCTGTGCCAGTGCAAAAGGAGCTGCTCTGCTGCTTCCCGGAATAGAATGGAGAAAAGGCCCAGGACTCGCAAGGTGTGAGGAGCCCTTTATTTCCCCCAAAACTTGAAAAAGGTAGGCTGTTTGAGTTTACTTTGTGCTAATCTGAAAGATTATTCAGAGATAAAACACAGCGATGAGAAATCTCTGAGTCGTTGGGAGATTGTAATAGGTTGTTTGGCATTGAAGTGATCATCTCAGTAATTGATGAGACTGTGAGACTTCTTCTTTTTTTCCCTGTGCCCTGTTGGTTCTAAAATGATTATGGCGTCGACGAAATGCAATCAGGTGTGGCGACTACGGCATGGACCACGGGTTGTTGCTGTTCGATGCGGTACCAACTGCCGTCTTCTAATTCCGTCCACTCGTCTTCAGCCATCGCGGGTACCGATTATCTCCGGCAACCCACTCTCACCCCACATGATGGGGGCTTCCATGTCAGCACCTACCTCGCCAAAGGCTTCGGCATCGGTGCTTAGAAATGCACGGGGTTTTGGTGGCGATGGGAGCGTGCTTGGAGCAGGCGCGTTCAGTGTCGGAACAAGGAATGATTCTAGCAGAGGGCGTGCTTTCCTACTGCATGGCAATGGTGGGCAGGTGACTGAGATCATCGTCAGTCCTTCAATCGGTTTTGGGTGAGCATGTTCAAACTGGCACCTCAGTAATATCCTCTCTTTTAAGCCACCAGAACGTCTAAATCTCTTTTTTGTCGAGGCGGACTTGTGCAGCACGCCAAAAACAAAACGAACCAGCACGGCGCAATTCCTGTTGTGTTTGGCTCGTGCTGGCGCTGCTATCCAAAGGCATCTGCGAGGCGACCCTTTGACAAACGCCGAAAGAAACTGCTATGTTACATTTTCGATTCAGAAATTTGCCTGGGAAAGCTACTGGTGGTTCTTTTTTTTTTTTTTTTTTTTGGACCATTTCTCGATTTATGCGTGTCATCCTTGCGCAGGGGCCATGCTAATCTTCTCTGTATTGTGCCAATTTTAACAGATGTCCCAAAGGACACTGGTGGTTTAAAGTTTAAATTCTTTAAAAATTTAAATTTTAAACTCTTTTTGCCCTTTTTTTTCACCCTGAGATTTTGGTGTTTGCTTTTTTCTGGAAATTTGCTCTACTATTTTGACAGCAAGACAGCTTTCCCTGGGGCCAGGGCCCACCTGTTGTGCTGGTTCAATGCTGGGTTTTCAATCACATGTGGCATTTGGGACAGAAGCGTGCAGTAGATGTGTTTGAAATTGACAAGTAGGTAAGATATATCACGACTGTAATAGCTTTGGTTCAAAAAAATTAATATCCTACATTCCTATATTTTTTTATTTTTACATTTGTTTCTGGCCTAGGCTGTTTTTTCCGGCTGCCCGCGCACCCAACCTATGTCCGGATACACACCCGGGTGCCGGGCTGGGCATGACCCCTGGGCAGGGTTCCGGGCAGCCCCAGCACACACAAAAAAAAAATTCAAAAAATTCCGGGCAAAAAATATGTTGTGTAGAATTGCAACGCAAATGACTTTTGGCATGAGAATTACTCACAGAATTGGAGATAAAAAAAAGAAAATAACAGAATCACACCAAGACACACCCCTTTAAACCCTTTAGCCCCTTTAAAACCAATTTATACCCCCCGTCCCCCCCCTTGGCAGCCAAGTCTCAAAAAAAGAAATGAGCCTGGATTTGGGGTCCTCTGGGAGAGCGCAGAAAGCCTTTTTTTTTTTTTTTTGCACGCCCGGGTACCCTGGGCATCAGAACCCCCCGAGCGCCATGCCCGCGTGCCCGGCCGGGCAGGACCGGCCAGGCGTGTGACAATCTTCCTAGTTTCTGGCATGTTTTGGCTTCATGGTTTGGGCGGGAAACGGCCGCCTCCGTTGAGGTTATCGCCCCGTGTGGACCTCAATGGAGAAAGCTATATTTCTTTCATCTATACAACTCGAAGGAGGGGAAAACTTCAAAAAAGTTGATTCTGCTACCTCTAGACTAATTGAGCATCTGATGTCAGACTCTGTCTCATTAACATGCACACGCACACACACACACACAAAAGAAAATACAGGCGACCAGAGTCAGTTCTTTATGTGAAAAAAAAAAAAAAAGAACTCGAAGGAGGGAATCGCACAGCTTGTGCCGTAATTATCTCCTCAATAGGACACTAACAGGGTGTGTTTGGGTATCCAGCGTGAAACTCGTTTCCTTCTTTCGGGAGGTGAATGCCTCTAGCCACAAGCATTGTCCAGATTAGGTTCACAAAAGGTGACGCCCCTTCCCCTTACCACGGAGAGTTTCGCGAAGACTGTGTCGCATGTATTTCATTTTTTATTTTTATTTTTTATTTTTAATCAAAATAGGGCCTTATGGTCCTGGCTCCATATTCATTCTGGGGAGCATCAGTCCGGTTCCTTTTCCACCGGCAAGTCGTGATAATACAAAAACATACATACACACGCTTCCTTCCGTCTGGCTGAAGGACCCCTGAACAGCATTGATTGCTCCATCTTCGTGGAGGATTGACTGTCAGCTTGCCTTTATACCCAACGTCCTCTCAGCTAGGGTATACCCCGGCTGTTGGACGTCCTTAAAGCTCAAGACTTTTGAGAGAGGCACAATCCTGTCCACACCCGATTGCCTCTGTTGTTGGGGTCCGTTGGTGCTCTCTCCCGTATCTCTTACCCTTTTCCTTCCATGTGTGTCTTGTTGCTGTCTTCTTCCGCTGTTCCCCTGGTTGCCCTGCTATACCCAGATGGTAGCCGGTATTTCTTGTGTCCGGGAAATCTCCCGATCTGTTGCCATGTCTGAGCTGTGGCAGTCTTTCCACCTCAGACTGAGACCATTTAAACATGCGACTTTGCCTCCTGCCAGCCATATCCGCTTGAATTTTGCTAGCAGCATTTGTTTTGTTTCCGCCGAACTTTCCGGACTGTTCTGCACCCAGATTTTGACCTTCTTCCACTGACATAGAATCTCTGCCTCGATCATCCCTTTGGGGGCCGCCCAGACCTTCTCCCATGGATTCGTGGAGCCCTCCAGCGTTCTGCTTCATCTCTCTTTCCAAATTGCCCAGAGTGTGACCTTGTGTATCATTCCGAACCGGATCCTTTCCGATTTGCTCAGGTTAGGGGGTAAGTTAGTTCAGAGGAGGAGTTGAAAGGGGGTGTCTGGGGAGAGGGGGTACCGAAAGGCTGTCCCATAGGTCAGATGCCCTTGCCCGATATTCTGTGGCTTCTTTGCATCTAATTAGGCGGTGCATTATATCCTCTTGTTCTTGGTCTGAGCAGGCTCTACAGATATCAGAGCTGTTCGGATCGTCCTGGTTCTTCTGACGTGAAACCACTGATTGACCGACAGGGCAGCATATGTTACAAGCCACTGCATTCTTCTGAGTTTGATTGGTCATATGGTTTTATATTTCTTGCATGGGATCATCTTAGATATTTGTTCTGAGTCAGTCCCAATTAGCTTGCGCCATCTGTCCTTGATCACTGGTTCCGGGTCCTTCGTTTTCAATAACAGCCTATAGCCGAGTTTGACCGTATATTCCGAAATTGGAATTAGGTGGTTTGCTGGTCCTGTCCCTTTTGTGGCAGCCAAGCCCATTCTTGTGGGTCGAATTCTAGATCCCGAACTGATACTCCAATCTGGGGGATCTGTTTTGGCCAGATTCCTAGTACTCTCAATTTGCGAAGTGTAAAAGCCTGCAGCGTTGCTGTGTTGTGGGTCGGTGGTGTTGATGAGGGGTTCATTCGGTTTTGTCCACTGGATAGGGAAGAATGTGAAAATGGCCATGGTGGCATGGACCCTATTCTTGACTGTCAATGGGAGAATTGGGATGTTCCCTTCGGAGTGTTGTCCAGGATTAGGATTCCCCATTCCCCTGATCTCCAGGTGAAGTCCTCGTTGAGCAGATCTTTCCAACTATCCGGGATGCTCCGTATGATCCTCTGTAGTTTTTCATCTCTGTGGTGATAGCCTTTCAGTCGGTTTCTGAGTTCATCTTCGTCCAACCAGTGTTTCCTTTCCTCGTTCCATATATCACTCTCTCTCCAGACCCCATTTTTTATCCATGTTAGCCATTTATTGCCCGTCTGGGACAGCGTCCAGGGGTGGTTCCCTTCGTCGCTAACCCATGGGTTTCCAAAGAGCGGCTGCCTCAGTTCTTCTTCCTTTGATCTGGGTCTGTTTATCTTTTTCTGGCATGATTTCCCTCCATATTCGTAGCACGGCTGTCCTGTAGGCCAGTGATCCTTGTTCCTGTCTTGGAATATCTCCTCTCCTCCGCCTCCTCCTTCCTGTTTTAGGACTCCAGTCTTTATTCATCACCCAGAATAGACCTGACATATGGGGGGGGGGGGGCATGTTGTTGGCACCCAGCTTCTGATGCTGTCAAGCGCCAACTCGTTCCATGCAAGCGACTGTCTGGTCAGGAGTTTGAGTATCCATTTGGTTTGGAGAGCTTTTGTTTCCTGTCTGGGGTCTATTATCCCCAAGCCTCCCTCTGCAATGAACCCAGATCTTGAAGACACTTGTCAACAATGCAAGCGCAGATGAATATAAACTTGCTGATGTTTATCATTAATCATAATCGTGTCCAGATAGAATGAGATGGGAGAATCATACACAGACGAAAAGAGAGAGGAGGGAGAATAGACTTAGAGAGTGGAGAGACAATGCCCACTTCTGCTTCGGGCTTCCTCCTCGATCACCACCTCAAATAATCAATAGTCTGAACGTACATCTAAAGTTCTACTATAATGTGCCACGTGGCACGTCAATCAGTCCTCATCAGCGCACTGGAGCAATGTCGACCTCAAGATGACCAGGTACGTGTCCACGATCGCCCCACAGTCATGATCTCCTCCTGAATGACGATGAATCAGAACAGCAGTGCCAGTCACGTAGCCCAGCCACGTCAGCATAGTACACGTGGCAGCGGCCACATCAACAGCGACGCGTGGCAGCTGCCACGTCAGCATGCCCTGAAGACAATAGTCAGCCAGCCACCATGCCGACCCAGCAGCACGTCGCCGTAGTCACCCAAATGCCAGCGCAAAGCCAGCGTCCAGCCAGCGTCGCAGCGTCGAGCCAGCGTCGTGGTCAACACGTGAAGTCAGCATTGACGCAAGACTGAATGAATGTCAAAGTCAGGAAGTCAGCGCTTATGTGCCGTTGGCGCGGGGTCTGGACCCCGGATGCTGCATCCCTCAGCCGTCAAGATCTTAGTGCAAATGACGGCCCAGATTGGCCTGAAACCGAATTCCCTCTGGCCTTGATGCTGTCTGGGTACCTGCGCACAACAAGTGAGTGTATCCGACCAAGGGCCTGGGCGCGGTACCTTTGACCTGACGGTTGACTTAGACTTTTGACTTTCCTAGGGCAGTGCGTGGTCACACTGCCTGGTGCAGGCCGAGTTTGGCCTGCATCGTCTGGGCTCCGTTTCGAGGGCCCAGACTGCGGCAGAACACGGGTTACTGCAACTGAGCCGGTCTCCTCGTGATATAGTGGAATGGAATCTTTGGTATGTAGTTCTCTCTGTTTGGGTCTCTCGACCATAGGTAAGCTCTAGTTTTTCGGTTTAGATCTTTGATTGTCTGGCCAGGTATGGTCCAGATTGAAGCAATGTACCACATCTTTGAGAATATAGACGTATTGATGGTTGGTGCACGGCCCAGTAAAGATGTGGAAGTCTGGCTCCATTTCCCCATTTTGTTAATCTGGCTGGTTAATAGGTTCTGTGCCATCTGGGGTGCCAGTCCGTCCTTTGTTATTTGAATTCCCAAGTACCTCATAGGGGATTCCAGTCTTTCCCACGTTGTGTCAACTTCAGGGCCTTGAAACTGGGGGACTGGTTCTTCCGACAGCCACCGACCTATTGTTTTCCCCCAATTTATCTTTATCTCCGAAGCTAGCCTGAATGCTTCCATTGCTCTGACTAGTGCTACCATGGAGGAGTTGAAAGCTCGTACTAACACCGTTAGGTCATCAGCGAATATGTGTTTCATTTCTCTGGATCACTTTTCTGAAATTTGGGCAAAAGCTTTCAGGCTTCAGCAGCATTTTTTGGATTTTTTTTCCGGTTTTCAATCATTTATTTTGACAAGAATGGTTTGGCCCATGGAAAGTATTTGCACCGGACCAATTGCATTCTTCAATCAAATTCAGTGTGACCCGGTAGGAGTGATGTTTCAGGGTGGGCAGGCCTTTTTGTATGTTTGTTTGCTTGTTTGTTTTTTTCTTCTCCGGTTCGTGAACGTTGGCTTGTCCAAACTGGTGGCTTAAGGGCCTCGCTTGAGTCGCTTCGCTATTGAGCATTCTTTGTGTATCAGGACTGTTTCTGGATCAGATACAGTCGGGCTAATTGAACATTTTGAATGTATTGAGACAATTACTGGCTTTAGATACATGCAGAATGTTGTGCAGTGGAGCGAGCCCCTGGTACTAAATGGGAGATTTATTCTTCTTTGGGCTTGAAGGTTGTAATCATCCCTGACTTGCCAGTGGAATAGAAACTGGACTGGTGCTTCCCAGAACGGATATGGAGCGGCATTGGAGCCAGAAGGCCCTTCTTTTTGTTTGTTTGTTTTTTTCTTTTTTTTTTTCTTTTAAAGATTGGACACTTGACAGTGAAAGTTTGAATCCAATGATGACAACGTGGAGTTTGGACTCTCTGGTCTTTTGTTGCTGATGTCATGGAAAAATAGTTGAAAATACCCTCATTAAACTGGTTGCTGTCCGGGGGATCTGACGAGTGCTAAACGGGCATGATTGGACTCAATGCAGGGATGGTGGTGGGTCATCTCTTCAAAAGGAGGTAAAGGGCTCAATGTCTGAGTCGGACATCCTACAGAGACTTTGCGACCTGCTTCGCCATCGTCCAGGTTCGTTATTGGCTGCAAGAGCAGCTGTTGAGTATCTTGATGCCGACTCACCCAGCATACGGGTCGGAAATGTTGCTGGCATCTTTGAAGGGATGGACAGAGAATGGTTCCCAGGAGAACGAGGGGAGGCAGAGGATGAAGAGCAGGAGCATATTGTGATCCGTCTCATGTCTGCCTTAGAGTCGCCTCGTCGCAGGCTGCAGGTAATGTTTTTTTTTTTTTTTTTTTTTTGCTCCATATCCACTCTGGGAGCATCAGTCCGGTTCCTATTCCACCGGCAGGCAGTGTTGCACACGCCGACCGTCGGTGACCCCTGACTGGTCGGCTGCCGACCCGCCGACCGGTCGGCTGGTCGGCACCTACCGGTCGGGGGTCGTCGGCACCCCGCAATTTTTTTTTATTTTTTTTTTTTTTTCCGGTCTAGAACCCCTAATAACCCCACCAACACCCTGTCTCTTATACACATCTAGATGTGTATAAGAGACAGGTGTTCATGTGGGGGAGGGACCGGGAGTGGCGGACGCGGAAGCGGGGGGTCGGGGGGCCGTGGACCTGGGTGCCTGACGTGTGAACTGTCCGGCATTTGGACAGTTTGTCTGTAGATGTCCTAACTGTTGGCACCGGAAACAACCACCCTTTGCTTGGAGGTAGGTTCGCTCCTNCCCCCCCATCCCCAAAAGTTTCTCAGCGGATTTGGGCTGTACTCAGCAAGCGCAGTACAGCTTCCAACTCAGATCTGAAAAAAAATTAGTGGATGGTTGTTTTCTGACTGGTCGGCAGACCGCCGACCGGTCGGCCCTACTGGTCGGCTGCAATACAGTCGGCGGTCGGGGTCGGCGGTCGGCAGGGATGCAACCATGCCGGCAAGTCAGAAATACAACAAGAACACCCTCACGCTTCCTTCCGTTTGGCCGAAGGACCCCCTGATCAGCCTTGATTGCTCCAGATGCCTGGATGATTGACTGTCAGCTTGCCTTCCCTCTACCTTTCCTTTCAGGTTTATTTACCCAAACCTGCCAAATTTAACGTGAACCCGAGAAAGGATTACGAGGTGTGGAAGCCAACAGCCCCTGAACTTGTCAGGGATGCCCTGCTGGATCTCTGATCTTGTAGGTTGTTGACTGCTTCTTTACTGATCTCCTCCTCTCTGCCATGCCGTCAAATTCATTTGGCCTGTATTGGGACCTGCCGGTCTGCTGATTGGGACCTCTGCCTTCTAAGACCCACTTCTGAATTGTTCCAGTCTTTCCACTGTATACGGGAGCCATTTTTGTCCGCTACCTTGCCTCCCACTAGCCATACCCTTGCAAATTTAGCTTTCACTCTCTGCTGCAGATCCAGATCGTCCGGCATAGACTGCTTTGTTTTCTTCCATTTGCACAGAATCTCAGCCTGAATCAACGATCTTGTAGCCGCCCAGGCACTTTCTCTTGGAGTGGAGAGGCCTTCAAGAGTTCTGCGGCATCTTTCCTTCCATATCGACCAAAGTGTAACCTTTCTGATCATGCCGAACCAGATCCTCTTCGTCTTTCGAAAGTGGGCAGGGATGCTAACCCATAGGAGTTGGATGGGGTGTTCAGGAAAGGGAGTAGGGAAAAGGGATTCCCAAAGGTCGGATGCCCTAGCCCAGTATTCCGCTGCCTCTCTACAACATATTAAGCAGTGTATCATGTCTTCTGGTTCATTGTCCGAGCATACCACACATAAGTCCGAGCTGCTAGGATCAGTCTTCCTTCTTCTGATATGTAACAACGATAGTTGACTGGTAGAGCCATGTAGGAGAGGCCATTGGAGGCTCCTGATTTTGACAGGTCGAATTGTTTTGATTTTTTTCCATGGTATTTGGGATATTTGATTGGCATCCTGACCAACTAACTTTAACAATCTATTCTTGATTATGGGATCAGGATTCCTACTCTTAAACCACCACTGCCTTTTCCCATGTGGACCGCCGTCGGGCCCCCGAATCTTTAGGAGGCCAACAAGAAACAACGGCCGCCGATGAAGATTTATCAACGGCGGCCGTCGTCGGGCCCAGCCTCCGATTTTTTTGGAGTAGGATATTTTCCTGTTTTCCCAACAGCGGGAAAGGTAGTGGTACCGGATCAAATTCCAAGTCTTGGATTGCAGTGTTCATTTTGTAGATTGTTCGCGGCAACACCCCCAACACTCTTATTTTTCTGAGCATGAACGAATTAAGGATTACTAGCTCCACATCTTTGTTTAGAATGGAGGAGCCATGAGTCGCAGAAGTAATTGGAAAAAAGAGGCAGGGTCGCATACCTACCAGCCACCAACCCTGACCGCCGACTGTATGGCAGCCGACCAGTAGGGCTGACCGGTCGGCGGTCTGCCGACCAGTCAGAAAACGGCCATCCACTGATTTTTTTTCAAATCTGAGTTGGGGGCTGGACTGCGCTTGCTGAGTACAGGCCAAATACGCTAGGAACTGTTGGGGATGGGGTGGTGGTGGGGGGGGTATAGGGGGGGTATGGGAGAGTATAGGGGTGGTGGAGGGGTTATTGGGGGGGCGTATGAGGGTATTGGGGGATGGCTTAGTGGTGTTAGGGGTGTGTATGGGGGTGTTGAGGGTGGGGATGGGGTTCTTGGGGGGGGGGGGGGGGGTTGGGGGGGGGGGGTATGAGGGTATTGGGGGATGGCTTAGTGGTGTTAGGGGTGTGTATGGGGGTGTTGAGGGTGGGGATGGGGTTCTTGGTGGGGTCATTGGGGGTTATGGACTCCTAGGGGGAAAAAGGAATAATAATAATAATAATTATTAAATAATAAATTTTGAGAGGTGCCGACGACCCGTGACCGGTAGGTGCCGACCAGCCGACCAGTCAAGGGTCGCCGACCGTCGGGGTATGCAACATTGAAAAGAGGTCAAAACCGCCAGTGTGTCTGATCCCTGTTGTTTATGGGAAAACTGGAAGGCGCTTGGGGGAATATAGGGGTGGTGTAGGGGGTATAGGGGGGTGTTTGAGGGTGTTGGGGGAAGTTTAGGGGTGTTGGGGGGGTGTATGGGGGTGTTGGGAGTGGGTATGGGGGCGTTGGTGGGGTTATTGGGGGTTATGGACTCCCAGGGAAGCAAAAAATAATAATAATAATAAAATTTGCGGGGTGCCGACGACCCCGACCGGTAGGTGCCGACCAGTCAAGGGGCGCGACCGTCAGGGTATGCGACACTGAAAAGGGGTGAACACCTCCAGGGTGTCTGATCCCTGTTGCTTCCTGAACTGGAAGGCCCTTGTGGGTGCTGGTTCACAATTCCCTAGTTTCCAGGTAAAGACTTCTCTCAACAACTGTAAGGCCCTTGTGGGTGCTGTTTCCTGAACCAGCACCAATTCCCTAGTTTCCAGGTAAAGACTTCTCTCGACAACTCCTTCCAGCCTTCTGGGGTGCATTTTCTCAATAATCCCACCGTCCCTACCTACCATCCTGTGAAATCACGGCCAAGGGAATGGGCGTGGAAGAATCGGCGGAGAAAGAAAAAAGACCCTGTTGAGCTTGACTCTAGTTCGACTCTGCAAAGGGACTCGAGAGGTGTAGAATAGGCGGGAGCTTTACGGCGCAAGTGAGATACCACTACTTTTAACACTATTTTAAGGAAAAAAAGGAAAAAATCTGTTGTTTTTTTGGCCGGCATTGGGTGCTTGGTATCTGACGTGTCTTTTGGTGTCCTGCCTCTCTGTTGTTTGGTTCTGCAGGCACTTGACATGCTGATTGCAACCCGCCCATCAATGCGGGCCCGGTTCAGGCTTGCCGCCACACAGCTAGCAAAATCTGCAGTTCGCAAGTGGCTGGACAATGCAGATTCCAGATGTGCAGCAGCTGCGCCTGTCTCGAAGGCAGTCACTGTCGCCACTGACCATGAATTTGATAAGCATCAGGTGCCCCAGTTGGAAGAGGCCAGTCTTCCGGATTCAAAGCGCAATAGACCACCATCACGGGAGCTGATTAGGAAAAGTCAGGATGGCCCAGAACATGCAGGTGGCGGACTGAAGGGAGTGGAGCCTCCTAAGGAAGGAGGGTATTTGTTGGGTGTTGAAGAGGCATCGCAGAGAGGCATGGGTGGAAAACTGAGAAGGAAAATGGGAGTGCTGCTCTGGCATGAGCATTTGTTGGAACTGTTTATTATCCTAGGTGGCGATATGTTCGATGACGAGCGAGAGGACTCGGATGGAGAGTGGCGAGTTTCAGGTGGGCTTTGGAGGATCAAAGCTGGGAAAGAGGGGACCAACAGGAGGGCAGTTCCCGAACTGTTTGATGATGTTCGCAGTTGGGTTCGATCTGAGGAACAGAGTAGGGATAGCAGAGCAGCAAGGGCAGGATCAGGAAAATCTGGGCATCTGCTGCGGCCACCTGTACAGCGAGCTGATAGGCACGTACACCATAAGAAGTCCGAGCACCCTAAAATGCTGGATCGCAACTGGAGTGCACTCTTATCGGGGTCAGCCCCTGGAAGATCTGGACGTAAACCTCTGACACAGGGACTGGTGCCCTCACGGCCTGCTTTAACTTGTCGCGAATTTATTCGCTCTTTTATTTTTGATCCGACGCTTGCTCCGCCATGTATACCTCGTAGAAAGTCGGCAATGGTGCCGACTAATGTCGGGTCCCTGAGGTTGCTTAGGGAGGGCGACCTAGGAACAACAGCTGGGATGATCCCAACAGCATCCATCGGCTCCTTAATTTTCAGATGGATGCTTCGTGGTGGTGCTGGTGCTGCTCGAGTGGTTGTCGGCTTAGAGGGACTGCCACTTCCAGGAAGCGACTGGGAACGTCTGTTTCTGGGATGGTATGATCTAGCACCACTTGATGGGATTGTGGCGTTGCCAGCGAGAATGCTAGTGGATGTGCTGAGGTGGATTGCAAAGTCTGTCAGTGAAACTGAAACTGCAGGGGGGTTTGAGCCAGGAGGGCGGTTTGCGGGGTCATACCAGTGGTGCAGAAGGAGTGGGGAGTCGAGCAAAGGACTGATTCTGGCTAGATGTTGCCAGTTTGTAGTTGAGGAGATGATGGAAAGAAGAGGCCTGGAAGGTCTGCTGTCTGGAGAGGCAGAAAGTGCCAAGCAGTGGGGAGAAACTGCAGAGCGTACCACCGACGTATGGTGGATTGAGAGAGTGGTGAGAAAAGTGTCAGTGTGTGCTGAGGAGAGAGGTTGGGTTGGCGGGCTCTCTAGCCTGATTCCGACGGTGGCTGAGCTCCCTAGCTTTGCCGTTGCCTCGTGGGCTGCTAGGCTGCAGCTCTTGGTAAGTCTCAGTGCTGATGCGAGCATGTCAATGCAGAGGGTCCCTGCAATCCAGCCATCAGTCCTCCGAACACGAAGGGAAAGCTTAACGGAGGGAGGGAGTGACGATGGACGCGAAGGAGGTGAGCAGGAGAAATTGGTGGAATTATTCCAAGTGTTGAGTGGGCGTTTCCCGGGAAGCTGCCATGATGACATTCTTGCCGTTCACAGAGGGCTGGAATTATGCAGGCAGTGGAAGGGGGGAAGGTTGAGTGCTCGGACTAGTGAAGCAATGGGAGCTGCAGTTGCTGCAATTGGAGGGGACGGCAATGAAGATCTGCTGCTTATTGCTCAAGAGCACTTCTCTTGCATCTCATCGGTGTGTAGCAGGCGCATGACATTTGCCCCCTCTTTACACACTTCATTTTTGCTTCATTTGAGTAGTTGTCATGACCTGATAACAGTGATAAGTAAATTGGAGAAATGTGCTTTGCCCGGCGTTGGCGCTCAATTCATTGGGAGGATTTTTGTTTTGCCAATATTGTGAAAGAATGTAAGAAAATGGGCGGCGTTTTCTGTGTTTGTGCATGCGGCGAGGGGGAAGATGATCCCTACACTTATAAAAATCGCTAATGTCAGAATTCTGAAATCCGGGCCGTCTTTGGACCTACCGGCCCGACGGCCCGGATTGGGGCCCAATCTTAGATCTTTAAGATCGCGCGGGGATCCAGGCCGTTCGCGGTTGCACCTGCCCGACCGCCCAGATCGTCCCGCGATCTTAAAGTTTTAAGACCGCGGGCGAATCCGGGCCGTCGGGCCGTTTATGGCCCAGATCGCCGCGGTGCCGTGGGGAAATGAGAAGACCGTGGGCGGGCGGGCGGGAAAAGTACGGCCCTACCCGACGCGACCTACCAACGCAACCTACGCTACGCTACGAGACCTACCTACGCGACGCGACCTACCTACGCAACCTACGCTACACGACCTACCTATGCAACCTAGGCTACGCTACGCGACCTACCTATGCAACCTAGGCTATGCTACGCAACCTACCTACGCGATGCGACCTACCTAGGCGACACGACCTACGCTACACGACGAGACCTACGCTACGCGTCCTCTCTCTCTCTCTCTCTTTCTCTCTCTCTCTCTCTCTCT